TTCAATCTGCTTATAATGAATGTTGCCTGGCCTGGGACTCACCCTTAAGGGCAGTGTGCTTCTCTACGACCAAGGGGAGGTCCAGATATCCTGTCAAAGAGTCTAGGCCTGGACTCAGGAATGCCAAGCTCCCACTTAATTCTTTAACTTCTATGGTTGAACAGGAACCTAAGGTGGAAGACAAAGTCTCCGTTACTTTTATCTCTGCTATTCTCAAACAGAAGGAGTCTTTCACTGCAGTTACCACAGCTGAGAATGTGCTGGGTCACACCTGAAGCAAGCATGTCCCAAGGCCCACAGAGTGCTATCTGGCCCCAGGTGGGTCCATATACTATCTGTGTATTGCTGCTGGTTATTCATGACCCAAGAGTTCTTTAATCAGCAGTTGATGAATCCTGCCACAACTTGGTATTAGGATTAGAATAGAAGTATAAAACTGGCTTTATCTATGTATGTCATGTTTTTGTCCATGACCAAACAAAATTAGTCATAACAAACTATTAAATTAATTAACTTAGGCTGAGTGTGGTCACTTACACCTGTAATCTCAGCACTTTTGGAAGTCGAGGTGGGCAGATCAGTTGAGGTCATGAGATTGAGACCAGCCTGGCCAACATGGTGAAACCTTAGTCTGTACTATAAATACAAAACTTAGGCCTGGTGGCGGGTGCTTGTAATTCCAGCTACTCAGGAGGCTGAGGCAGGAGAATCACTTGAACCCAGGAGGTGGAGGTTGCAGTGAGCAGAAATCATGTCACTGCACTCCAGCTTGGGTGACAGAGCAAGACTCCATCTCTAAATGAATGAATGAATGAATAAATAAATAAATTTGCCAAATAACTGGATACAAGATCAATGAACAATAATAAATTTTAAGCCTATGTGTCAGTAGAAAATAATTAGAAAGTGAAATTTAAAGAATAATATAATCTACCATTTCATCAAAAATACCTAAGAAAGATATTTTAAAGATTAAAATATATTTTAAAGATATCTATATTGAGTCAGTGGCCATAGACATAAGAACAAGTACAACATGTTAGGTATATGTAAATGAAAATATTATTTGGCATTTCCAAAGAAGTAACTGCTGCTTGCAACAACATGGATAAACGTACAGGACACTATGCTAAGTAACGTAAGCCAATCACAGGAAGACAAATACTGCATGATTTCACTTATATGAGGTAGCTATAATAGTTAAACTCATAGAAGAAATTTTAGTTACACAAAATAAATTATTTCTTAAGATCTACTGTAGAACACAGTGCCTATAGTTACAACATAGTACTGTGTAGTTCAACATTTTTTGGGAGGGTAGATCACATGTTCTTTGTGTGTATTTTTTGGTGGGGGGGATGGAGTCTTGCTCTGTTGCCCAGGTTAGAGTGCAGTGGTGCAATCTTGGTCTACTGCAACCTCCATCTCCTGGGTTCCATCAATTCTCCCACCTCAACCTTCCAAGTAGCTGGGATTACAAACGTGCACTACCACCACACCCAGCTAACTTTTTGTATTTTTAGTAGAGTCTGGGTTTCACCCTGTTGGCCAGGCTGGTCTTGAACTACTGATCTCAAGTGATCCTCCTGCCTCAGTCCCCCAAAGTACTGGGATTACAAGTGTGACCTACTACTGTGCCTGGCCAGATCACATGTTCTTACCACAAACAAACAAACAAATGAACCAACAGAAAAGAGACATGATAAAACTTTGGAAGGTGCTGGATATGTCTATTACTTCGATTGTGGAGATAGTATCTTGGGTGTTTACATATGTTCAAATTCATCAAATTGTACACAATGAATATGCATAGTTTTTTTGTATTCAATCATTTTTCAATAAAGTTAAAAAGAAAAAACTAAATAAATAGATATATAAGGAATCTGAATAAATATATAATGTACAGGGAATAAATACCTCATGTTTAATACACTGATTCTTCCTCAAATGTTCTATAGATCAAATGCAATCTCAATTACAGTGTCTGTAGTTATTTTCATGATACCTTATAGGTGATCGTACAATTTATTTTAAAAGAAAGGAATGATAATTCTAGGATTAAAAGATTAAAGTGAAAAGACTTATAAAATATCAAGATTTATTTCACAGCTACAGTAATTAAGATAACATGGCATTAACATGAAGACATATTATAGGAAAAAACCCCTAAAATTTGTATATGTCACCATTTATATATAGCAATTTGATAAACAAGAACTATGCCACTGCTTTTGGAAAATATAGTATGTTTTCTTGAATAAATTGTGTTAAGTGTATTGGCTATCTCCATAGAAAACATTGAATTTTAATTTCACTCACATCACACATAAAAACTAATTTGAAATGGATCATAGATCTAAATATGAAAGAAAAAATATAAAGTTTATTGAAAAAAATGTAAGATAATATCACAGAGAAGTCAATTACCAGTAAATTTTTGTATTTTCACTTTCTTTAAATTACAAACATCTATTCCTTTAAAAAAATTTAAGAGAGTAAAAAGGCAAGCCACAGACTTGAAATTGTTATTTGATATATAGCATTGATGTAGATACAGACATCTGATGATGAACTAAAATTCTGAATATATATAAATATAAAATCTCCTACAGATTAATAAGAAATCCTTGTCTTCTTCCTGATTTTAGAGGAAAAATTTTTAGCTTTCACTGTTGAGTATGATGTTACCTGTGGCCTTGTCATATCAGCTTAGTATTGTGTTGAGGTATATTTATTTTGTTACTTAATTAGTTGAGAATATTTATTAAAAATACCAAATTTTCTCAAAGGCTTTTTCTTTATTAAGTTGATCATATTATGTTTCTCCTTTACTCAGGTATATCACATTTATTCTGAATTCCAGGAATAAATCTCATTTTATCATAGTATGTTATTCTTTTAATGAGCCAGTGAAATCAGTTTGCTAGTACTTGTTGAGAATTCGGCATCCATATTGATCAGGGATAGTGGCCTGTAGTTTTTTTTTCATCACAGTGTCCTTTTCTGGTGTGACGCTGGCAACACAGAATACATTTTAAAGTGTTCCATACTCTTTCATTTTCTGAAAGAGTTTGAGAAGGATTTACATAAATTTTTATTTAACTATTTGGTAGTATTCAACAGTGAAGTATTTGGTCCTAGGAATTTTTGTTGGGAGGTCTTTGGTTAGTAATTCAATTCCCTTACTCATTATCAATCTTTTCAGGGGAAGCCCTAGCCAGAGTGATTAGGCAAGAAAACAAATAAGAGGCATTAAAATCGGAAAGTGAGAAACAACATTTTCTCTGTTTTTAAATGACACTTTTATATACAAAATAATCTTATAATCTCCTGCAAAGATTGTTATAACAAATAAACAAATTTATTAAATTTGGATTCAGCAAATCAACATCTAAAAATCAGTTGTGTTTATATCTCCTAACAGTGAACTTTCAAAAAAACAATTAAGAAAGCAATCCAGTTGATAATAGCATCAAAATAATAAACCAAGATAAATTTAACCAAGGAGATCCAAGACTTGTACACAAAAATCTGTAAAACATAGATAAAAAAATTACACACAAATAAATGGAAAAATATCCTGTGTTCAAGCATTGGAGGAATTACTGTTGTTAAAATGTCCATACTACCCAAATCATTCAACAGATTCAATACAATCCCTATAAAAATTCCGATAACATTTTTCATAGAAATAGAGCCATAAAGGACTCTAACTAGTCAAAGCAACTTTGAGTGAAAAGAACAAAGCTGAAGGTATCACACTTTTTTATTTTAAATTATATTTAAAAGCTATAGTAATTAAAACAATAGAGCCCTTGCATAAAAACCAAACACCTAAACCAAAGGAAGAAACTGAGAGCCCAGAAATAAACCCATTGATATGCAATCAATTAATTTTTGACAAGGGAGCCAAGAAAATGCAATGTAGAAAGTTTTCTTCAATAAATACTGTTGGCAAAGCTGAATATCCATATTCAGAATAGACTCTTCATACATAAAAATCAACTCAAAATAAATGAGACTGAAATCTAAGACCTAAAACTGTAAAACTCCTAAAAGAAAATGTAGGAGTAAAATTTCCTGACATTAGTCTTTGCAACAAATATTTTTAATATGATGCCAGAAACACACAAGAAAACCAAAAATAAACAAGTAAAATTAAATAAAACTAAAAAGCTTTCTGCACAGTAAAATAAAGTCAACAAACTGAAAAGGTAACGTATAGAATAGAAAAACAAATGCAAATTCATACAACTGCATAATCAAAAAACTCACAATCCAGTTAAAAAACAGATGAAGAACCCGAATAGATTTTTTTTCAAGAAGACATCCAAATGCCTAATGCAAATATGAAAGTGTGCTCAACATCCCCAACCATTAGGAAAATATAAATCGAATTGCAACGAGGTATTACATCACACATATTATTATGGCTATTATTTTTTTAATGATTAAAAAAAAAGCCTTTTGGCAAAGATGTAGAGAAAGTGAACCTTTGTGCACTATTGGTGGAAATGTAACTGGTAGAGCCATTATAAAAAGCACAATGAAAATCTTAATAAATTACAAATAGTATTACCATATGATCCAGCAATCTTTCTTTTGAATATATATCCAAAAGAATTGATATCAAGATCTCAAAGAGATATCTGTACTTTCATCTTAATTGCAGTGTTATCCATAAAAGCTATGGTATGGAAGCAACCAAAATGTCTTTCAATGAAAAAGTAAATAAATAAATTAAGGTATAGAAATATAATGAAGTATTACTAAGCCTGTAAAAAAGAAAACCCTGATTTTTTCTTTATTCAACAAATGGATGAATCTAGGGTACATTATATTACATAAAATAAATCATATATAGAAAGATAAATATTATATGATCTTACTTGACATGATATGTAAAATAGTCAAGGTCATAAAATTAGTGAATAGAATAATTATTTCCACTGTCTTCATCCATTTAGTGTTGCTATAAAGGAATATCTGAGGGTCGGTATTTTACAGAGAGAAGAAGTTTATTAAGAGGTTTATTTGGCTCACAATTCTGCAGACTATACAAGAAGCATGGCATCAATATGTGCTTTTCATGAGGACTACAGGCTGCTTCCAGTAATGGCACGTGCAGTGATCACATGGCAAGAAAGGAAGCAAGATAGAGGGAAGAAATGTTCCAGGTTATTTTTAAAAACCAGCCCCTATGAGAACTAATAAAGTGGAAACTCATTCGTTACCTTGAACATGACACCAAGCCATTCATGAGGGTTTTGCCCCCATTACCCAAACATCTCCACTTATTCCTCATCTTCAACATTGGAGCTCAAATTTCAACATGATTCTTGAGAATTCAAACTTCCAAACAGTAGCATCAAGGGTCTAGGAGGGAGAAATTTGGATGGGTAAAAGATACAATGCTATAGTTATGCAGGAAAATAAGTTCTAGAGATCCACTACACAGCACAGTGCTTATAACTAATAACACTGTATTATATACCTAAATTTTGCTAAGTGGATATGTTTTATGTCAAGTGTTTCTACATCAAAAAATCCCCAATAATAACAACAAAGGGGGATTGGAGGAAATTCTAAGAGGTGATGGGTGTGTTTATGACTTTGATAGTGGTGATGGTTTCACAGTTGTACACAAAGTCACTGAGATGTACACATTAAATATGTACAGCTTTTTATATGCCAATCATAGCTCAGTAAAATAGTTTAAATAAAAAGGCAAAAGATATGCTTCCAATTTTAAGTTATACAAAGGATTTGAAAAAGTATTTCATAAAACAATGTAAAATGGTAAAACCACCTTTGAAATTTCTTTTGTAGTATCGAATAAAGCTGTATATTCACTTTTTACACACAAGGTTTACTCCTAGGTATCTAATAAAAGAAAAAGAGTATTTACACCCACCAAATACTTAGAATCTCCACAGAATTGTCTTTCAGAATCATCCTCAAATTAAAAATAATCCAAATGCTTGTTACAAAAGAATGAAAAAATAAATGATATGTTAATATTAATCAAATAGTACAGAATAATAACAATAACAAAATGCTTATACATTTAAAAAACATGGTTGAAGCTCACAGAAGTAATTATTAGCAAATATAACCATATCCAAAAGAATACATAAAATACGGTGCATTTCCAAGACATAACGTGTGATTACGTCTTTAGGGATATATTGACAGAGTGAACATAAGGAAGGCTTTGCAGAGATAATTTTTCTATGACTTACATTGGGTTGTTGCTACACATATAAACATTTATTCAACTAAGCATTTGAGGTTTGTACTATTTCAATATGTACTTTAATTTTTAAGAATATGAAAAGAATGCAGAGCTTTTCTTGCAAGACTATTAAAAAGTGTTAATAAAGACAACATTGACACTATTATTGGCATTTAGCAGGGGCTCCACAAATATTGCTTTCTTTACCATGAAGGAAAGTGCTGAAATATTAATGTTTGGGAGCAATTCAATCATAATAAACCTTTGTTGATGTCAAAACTCAGGCCATCCACCCCTCAAGAAGTAAGATCTCATGAAGATAAAGCCAAGAACACAGCTGAAGTGCTTAGGTTTGATCACTACCCAATTGTAGCCTGACCTCAGTACCAGCTGAAGTATTGTGACCAGATATCTTGGGGAATAATGTAAATGATGCTTTCTGTATCTCAAAGTAGTCTGAAACCATGATGCTCTCTGGGTGCTTTTATGTGAAAGGAGGGTAAAGCTAGAAGTTTGGTATTAAATCTGTTCAATTCAGATTTTCCATCATATTAAAGCAGTTAGTCATTTATTGATCTATTCATAATGCCTTAACATGCTCATTACATGCCACAGGTCTAATTTGTCAGTACTAGAACCAAGGGTGGCAGCAGAAACATTTAGAGAAACAGGAAGAAGCCAGTACAACAAAGATAAAAAATATGACAAAATTACTGATTTCTGTTAGGCATTGAATGATGAAGTGTACAGGTAATCAGGAGATGTATGCAACACGTACATCTTAAATATCAAGACAAAACAAAGACTCTGAAACAAACTAAAAAATTAAAAGGCAGGAGATACAGAGAGACCAAGCCAATGGCCGAAATGTATTTGAATTTACCAAGAGTTTTCTGGAGATGAAGCTAAGACCCAATGTGATGGTTAATACCGGGTGTCAACTTGATTGGGTTCAAGGATGCAAAGTATTGACATTTGTGTCTCTATGAAGGTGTTGCCAAAGGAGATTAACATATAGGTCAGTGGGCTGGAAAAGGCAGACCCACATTTAATCAAGGTAGGCACCATCTAATCAGCTGTCGGTGCAGTCAGTATATGAAGCAGACAGAAAAATGTGAAAAGGCTAGACTAGCTTAGCCTCCCAGCCTACATCTTCCTCTCATGCTGGATACTTCCCGCCCTTGAATAACAGACTTTATGTTCTTCACTTTTGTGACTCGGATTGGCTATGTTGTTCCTCAGCTTGCAGAGGGCCTATTGTGGGACATTGTGATCATGTGAGTTAAATACTCCTTAATAAACTCCCCTTTATATGCAGATAGATGATAGATAGATAGATAGATAGATAGATAGATAGATAGATAGATAGATAGATAGATGATAGATAGATAGATAGATTAGATAGATAATCCTATTAGTTCTTTCCTTCTAGAGAACCCTGACTAATATACCCAAAGAGTTAGCATTTTAATTGTGGGCTGTTTTTCATGAAATAGCATGATGTTACTTGGAGACTATCTGGTATAGATAGGAACTTCTCAAACATCACATAAACAAGTACCTGCTATATACACATATAAGATTGGATTTGCCCTTGGTGAATAAATTCTTGAATTGAGATGGTCCTATATGACTTGAAGAGTACAACAATCCTTAGGTTTTTCACCCTGCATTTTCAGAGGCAAAGCCCATTCCATAGTATTAGACATAGTTTCTATCATAACTTAAATGGTAGAAATTAATAGGATAGATACACAAATGTTTATATGGTGTCTATGAGAAACTCACTTTTTTAAAAATAAATCATTAAAGTGAAAGGATAGCAAAGGCATTTCACAGCAATAGTAATAAAAAGATAGAGTTCTGTACTAATATGAGACAAAATATGCTTTAAATCAGAAATTATTATAGGAGATAATGATGGATATAATAAATTAATAGAAGGGAGAATCCATCAAGAAGATACAGCAATTATAAACATCCACGTCTAATAATGAAGCCACCAAATATCTGAAGCAAATCATGACACAATTGAAAGAAAAACTAAGACAATTATACACTAACATTTAGGGACTTCATCACTCCACTTACAATAATAGAACAATTAGACAGAAGATCAATTAAAAAACAGATTTTGAACAACACAATAAACCAACTAGATGTTGCAGACATATATGGAACACTCTAACGTAACTACACATGAAACATTCTCCGGGATATTCCCTATGCTTGGCCCAAACAAATCTCCATACATTTTAAAAGATTTAAGTCATGTAAGGTATCTTATCCAAACACAGTGGAATGAATCATGATAGTCATTAGAAAAAGAAAAAAATGGAAAAAACACAAATATGTGGAAATTAAACAATAGACTCTTAAGAAATCAATGGGTCAAGTAATATTTTTTACAATACCAGAAGACAAATGAATAGAAAAAAACAACACATTTAATAAGATAAAGCAAAAGCAATGCAAGAGGGGTATTTATAACTGCAAATGTTTACATCAAAAAAAAGAAAGGTCTCAAGTCAGCAACCTAATGCTACAAGTTAAGGAACTAGAAAAAGGAAGAACAAACTAACTCCATGGCTAAAAGAAGGAAAGAAAGAATAAAGATTAGACTGGAGAGAAATTAAATAGAAAATGAAAAACAATAAAGAATGTCAATGAAAACAAAAATTGGTTTTTAGAAAATGATAATAAAATTGACAAAACTTTGCCTGGACACACCAACAAAAAATATAGAAGACTCCAATTACTTAAAAAAATATAAAAGTGAGAACATTATTATTGACATAAAAAGTTTAAAAAGATTATAAAAATTTTTGTGAAAATCTGTACACTACAATTCCTTAATTAAAATGAACAAATTCCTAGAAACACACACACTATGAAATTGAGTAAAAATAATTGAAAGTCTGAATAGATTCACAGTAAGTAAAAATATTGAATCAATAATCATAAAATTACCAATAAAAGAGACAGATGGTTTGACTGCTGTATTCTTCCAAAAATGTAAAGAAAAATTAACAATTGTTCTCAAACTCTTCCAAAAAAAAAAGAAGGAAAGAGAACACTTGCCAACTCATTCTTTGAAGCCATTATTACCCTGAAGCAAAACAAGACAATAGAATCATAAGAAAGAAAATAACAGACCTGTGTTCATTATGAAAGTAGATGCAAAAATTTTGTTAAAAATTCTAGCAAACCCAATCAACCAATACATAACCGTAATTTGATGGCTCATGCCTATAATCTCAGAACTTTGGAAGACTGAAGAGGAAGGATTGCTAGAGCCCACGTGTTCAAGACCTGCCTGGGCAACATGGCAAATACCCATATCTACAAAAAATACAAAAAAAAAATTAGTTGAGCATGAGCTGTGGTCCCAGCTACTTGAGCGACTGAGGCGGGAGGGTCACCTGAGCCCAGGAGGTTGAGGCTGTAGTGAGACATGATTGCACCACTGCACTCCAGCCTGGATGACTGGATGTCTAGAAAATAAAAATAATTATAAAAATTAGCTACCATAATCAAGTGTGATTTATCCTAGGAATGCAAAGTTGTTGTGACATACAAAAATCAATCATTATAGGAATGACGCTTCTGAACAAAAGCATATGATAGTCTAAATCGATGAAAAAAATTTGACAAAACAAACACTTTTTATAATATTTACAAGTTGGAAACAGCAAAAAGACGAACGATCAAATATTCAAGAAAAGGAAAAGATCTGAATTAACATTTCTCCAAATAAGATAATCAAATAATCAATATGCACATGAAAATATGTTAAACATTATTTGTATTTAGGAAAATGCAGATTAAAACAACAATGAGATACCACGTCACACTTACTGGGATGGCCATGTCAAAAACTATAACAGAAAATAACAATGGTTGGTGATGATCTGAAGAGAGTGAAACTCCCATACTTTGCAGGTAGGAATGCAACATGGTGCAACTCATGTGGAAAATATTTTGGCAGTTCCTTAAAAAAATGAAACACAGAAATATGATATGACTCAGCATCTCCACTCTTAGATATATGACCCCCAAAATTTATACCCTGAAAACAGGAGTTTTACACAAAACTTATATATAAATATTCATAGCAGTACAATTCACAATAGCTAAATGT